CATTTATTAAATAGGGAATCTTTTCCCCACTCAATGTTTTTAATTGACTTGTCAAAGATCAGGTACCGGTAAGTAGTTGGATTCATCTGTTGGCTCTCTATTCTGTTCCATACATCTACCTCTCTATTTTTGTGCCAGTACCATGCTGTTTTGATCACTATGAATTTATAGTATAATCTGAGGTAAAATTTACTTTTGAGAGAAAAAGTTTCATTGTGTTTCCCAGTTTGTTTCAATCGTGGGATTCTGTTTATTCTCCCAACCTGGCCTGCTTGCATTCTGGCATTTCAGATGTGAGCCATTGTGCCTTGTCCTTTGAGATTTAATGTCTGATTTAGAGAGGATGGTGGTAGATACATCATAATGTAAAACTATGCTGTCAGCCTTCATGCATAATGCATTCAGCACATGCTTCTGAAAGAGTGCCCAGTGGGTTATAGGTACGAAACATATTATGAACTCACTAAAAAAGAACAGGCTACAGCCTTTGGATACTGGGAATTTTATGGCAAGAATGTAATAGTTCTTAATTTGTAGAAAGAATGCAGGGATAATGTTGGTCACCTTTTCTATTGAATGGTGATAGCTCTTATTTAGCAAAGGTTGATGAAAAATAGCCTTTTATTTGAAGCTGAAGAGAGAAAAGTTTTATTAGAATAGACATTCTAATTAAAACTACCAGTAATTCATGTTCTTGACAGAGATTCACGTTTACCTCTTGGCATTGTAATTTGCAACTGTTTTATTCAGAATATGTCATAATTCCCAGTTTTAACTAACAAAATTTAATGTTTTTCATCACCATAAATGAATCACAGTGTTTCTACCAACGTTGTTTTATTCTGGTTCAGAAGGAAACTTCTTAAAGGACAATAATAGTGCACCATTAGGCCCTTATGGTTGAAGCATCTAGAACAAATTTTTTTGTGAAATCAAAGAACATACCCTCTGGGGTACATATACCTAGGTAAGTATAATTTGGAGGTACTCATTCTTAGTACTTAAGTTATTCTTTTTATTCTCTGCTCTAGGATACTTACTGAGTCCAGTGAAAATTGCATGGCAGTACAACTTCAGATGCTCAAACATGCATTACCATTGATGAACATGCACTGTCTCGTTATATTTCTGCATGGTTCTTTTGTTACATAGGACCCATGGCATGCACCTTCATTTTCCTTAAGCAAAATATGCACATATAGTAATATGGAATTATTATGAAGTAAAAGAATATGTGGACAGTAAGGATAGAAATAACACTATGTCTTTTTTGTTTTAGTTTAGTACTCAGTGACATAATTTTAAGATATTAATTATGAATTTCCTTTTATGAATAAACACAATGGGAAACTTGTTTTGCTGAATAAACTAGGAACTGCTTATATTTACCCTTGTAACACTCTTCATAAGTTGCATTTTCTCATCACTCCCCTTAAACTTGATTAATGTGCATCTAAGATATGGTTTATGTATTGAGAATGATGCTAACCACTGCAGAGGTATGAGAATTTTTATTGCACAGTGAGGCCTTTTGAGGAAAGTAAAATAGTCTTCCACAGGTGATTCAAAAATGGCCTAGGAGGAACTGGCATATGTGACTGGCTTGGGGTGTTATGGTTATTGTTAACTTATCCAGATAAACCAAATAGGAAGAGGGAATGCAGGGGTATAAAAGGCATTAGTATTCAAATATCACACAGTGTAGTCTGACTTTTTAAGGTAACTGAGTGTTTTCACTGAGTGGAATCCCCAGCTAATCGGTCATGAAAGATCCCACTTTCTTCATGTTAATAGCTTACTCCATTCCTTTCTTGGCTGTACATATAAATTCTATGGCAGAGTATGACTGTTGAAAATGTTTGTGAAATACTGTTTAATTAAATTGCCTAAAATATTTTTTACAGTAGAATGAAAATTATCATGCTGAAATGCCTATTATATAAGAATTATGATTAAGGAATTTTACTGAAAGAAGATTTTTATAAAATTATAGAAATGCCATTTTTAGACTATGATATTAAGCAATATTTGCCATCATTCTTTTTAATGTTTATTAAAGTTTTCTGGTTTTGTAAATGACTTTTTGGTCATTTTTTCCTCTTTTATACGTTATAGGCCAGCATGTATATTTAATACATTTTTTTCCCTGTGTTACTCCCCTCTAGGGAGTATGTATATGAGGGTGCTGTTTGGAGGTAGCTTTTGTGACCTGAGCATACAGATTAGGACAATGGCAAGTAAAAACTGATTTCTGTATAAATAAGAAAAAGCAATGCCTGTTAGAGTCTTTAGGGAAAGGAGTGGGACAATGCAAGACAATAAACTGAAATTTTTTAATGTGGACATTATCTGAGATCAGATGCTTAAAAATCAAATATGTGGAGGTTAATCAGCATCTGCAGAGGTAAATGAAAAATTGGTAAGAGGGAAAATCTCCCAGACTTCAACTTGACTTTGTGACAAGGAGGTAATCTCTTGCTGAATCCCTGGAGGCCATTCTGTCACCTGCCACTGGCTGGTATCTCTATTCAGAGTGGGAAACTTTCAAGAAAACATGTTTGTGTTACTTATAACATGAAAACTGGCACCTGATATATTTGTGTTTATCCAAACTTACTTAATGTTTCCTTTTAATAATTTCAAGTGTAGTGTAGTTGTGCACACTAAAAAATCCCAGCTCCCTGGGAAGCTGAAGCAGGAGGATCATTTGATTCCAGTAGTTATAAATGATCCTGAGTTACCAAGTCAGACCCTGTCTCAAAGAGAAAAACTGATTTGTGGGGAAGGGTTAAAGTAGTGGACTTGAAGCAGCTGGCACATGCTTCTCTCAGAGAGAGGGTTGGAGACGGCAAGTAGATACTCACCTTTGGTTGAATTGTCTGATTGGAGTGGGAGCCAACAGAGAAGTGACAGAAGACACTAAATGCAGATTAGAAAGAAGGTGGCCTGCTTGGCTGAGTGAGCAGAGGCCAGGGTGCTGTCCTCATGTGGGGGAGGGGCAAGTGACAGATCTCCAGCACTCTATACTCCCCTTCATAGACTTCCCCATCTGAGCTACAAGAGGGAACCTGCACTCATTCAGGCCTCTAGATAAACAGAGCTGCCTAAAGACTGCATCATGGAACTCCAGGGAGGTGGTACAATGGGTACCACAAGGTGCTGGGCCATAAGCAGTACATGTGGCGTCATTCTTTGAGCCCAACTATAGAGTGCTGTATCAG